ACGGAAATAGTGTTTTACGATGGCACTCGAATCCGAAAAGAAGTCTGTTCAAAACAGATACCATTGACGAGTACAAGCCTGGATCGACACCCATCTGTGCTGCTAGTAAAATCGGCACTGATCGAACAAAAACTGAAAGTTAATACATTCTGATACAGGAACATCAACAGAGGGACGAAAATAACTGCAACGAAATAGTGCTGCAACAAACAGTAAAGAAGAAATGTTACCATTGCTGTCGGATCGTATTTTTATCGTTCATTTCATAAAAACTGGATTCGTCGGGCTTTTGACTAAAGTAGAAACCTTGTTTGGCGTTAGTAGACCAATTAATTTATGAACGTGAGAATGGACATTTTTAAATGTTGCGAGACTGCTCAGGTTCATGCCTGTTTTTACATAACATTTTGTTCGAAACGCGAATCGTTCCAATTATTTTAGTAGCTAAAAGCAAATTGTCTGTAATCACATTTCACATCTAATTTAGCAATATAATTTTCTGACGCTCGTAAATTAATTAGAAAATTCTCGAAGGCGGTATAAATGAATATATAGACGGACGAAGCTATCTACCTACATTATTCTGATTTAACCTGATTTAACATAATATTCCATTGTAATATCTTTGGTTTGATATTTATACTTGTTTTTATCTTGTTCTTTAATATTCATTATTTTAATTTATTTAGTAAAATAAACGTCGCTAAAATTTTATTAATAGTACGTGTAAGTATTATACAATGTAGAAGGTCGAAAGTGCCAGAGAGTCTACGTTCGGCCAGTCAACGATTAACGCAGTGATAAAAAAAATGAGAATTGACTGCTGGATCGGTGAATGTGGAAGTCGATTAAAAACTAGAATTCTGTCGGAGAAGTGGCTATCTGTCGAGCATAATGTTGTCGAATCGAGGTGCAGAGAAATTGGACGAGGAAATACAGTGGAACAGAGTGGAAGAAGCGTGTGCACGGCCCCCTGACACACATCGACTCGTTAAAATAACGACATAATGGCTAATTTAGCGATAATAAGCACGAACCGTATCGTTCAAATTAGCGTCGAAGGTGAGACGGGATTGACAAAGAGGGATGACCGAGGAGCGAGGAAAAAAGAGAAAAGAGAACCGTCGGGCCCGACGGCGCGCGCCGCGACGGCGTGTTAGGATTCAAACGCTGTCGCGCTTATGTTGTCCAACGTCTGCCATCTTACGGACTTCGACTGAAACGAATCCACGAACCAATAACTCGAGAACTCCCTTAGTCAACCTGTTCCCACAACAACAAAAAGACAATTAACATTCGCATACAATAGTACCGTCGTTTACGCGAATCCACTATTTACTATTCATTGAATATTCTACTCATAGAGCATTTTGCGAACGGACTGCAAACGACAGCAGGATATTGATTATTCAAACTATCGGGTTACCGACATTCTAATTACCGAGGATTCGTTCTAACTGGTACGCGAATGTTTGTGCAAAGTCGTATTGCTGCAGGCTACTTTGGAAAACCAGGATTGTATACGAAAGTTTATTATTGTAGGAATTAACATGGAACTTTTGTGACGTTAACGATGTATTCCGCTTTTTATGTGAATTTTAGGGAACGAAACTGTAAACATTTAAAAGTTTTGAATTACTTGTAAAAGCAACAGTTTGCTCGTTGTTAAGAATATTGTATGAAAATGATAGCAAAATCTACGTTTTAATAAACTGCTTATCATAAGCTAGTGTCAGTCTAATTACTAGACTATTTATTTATTTTCTCATATTTCATATTAGTCTATTTAATCATTTTTTCACTATTTTGTAATGTTCATTATTTCGTAACTCTTAAACTAAATTCTGTTAAATAGGCACTGCTAAGATTTAGTTCATATAAACAGAGTATCACCGAATAAAAGATTACAGCCCCAAAGAAACTTCGCACAATCTAGTAGAGTAATAAATCTTTAGTTCATCTGATTCGCCAACAGAAAAATAAATCATTCTTAACATTGTTTAAAGAAAAAGAGTACGTTTCGCGTCGTACGGTGATTTGCAGCGATTTATTCAGGTAGAAACGTAGCCCGATATTGTCCCACTGATTTGATCGATGCTTGCAGATAACGGAAACGTTTGAAAACGAGCGTGCAACGGCGACGCGGGGATCAAAAAGCGGAAAAATACAGCACGGCATTCTGGGCAACGGTATGAAACGGTCATTATCGGTCGGGGTCGACGTTCTTCGTCAAAATAGTCACGATCGCCAGACAAGTAATCGCGGACGCGTATACAATATATATGTATTTCCAACAATCCGAACAAGCGCACGCTGCAAGTGTGCAGTGTGCAACGAGACCGATTTTTCGTCGAGTCACCAGGACAAAGACGGCTTGCACAGCTAATCGGCATTGTCGACTCTGTCCGGGGGTACCAATTTTCTATATTATGGCCGCTGTTATGCGGACGATTCGTCCATGGACCCCCCCCCCAAAAAAAATTTAGGTCATGCCTCGTGATACATAAAAATAAGGCGGCGGTTTCCGTGTTCGACGAGTGGCACCCTGCCAAGCACAACCGAATTCGATGAAATCTATTCACGAGATCCCAGAATGCGACCTACACGGCTCCGTCGTTAATATGTAACATCCTCCTTGTGCATAAACTATTAGCAAAGAATGACTTATTCGTACAATTTTCGAGAATTTCACTTTTAGTTCTAGTAATATATTTTCCGATCTCGATTAGTTCTCCAAAGAGTACAACCGAAATAAAACTGTTCACTGTTACCCAACTGTTACGTATATTTGATTGTAATGCTTGTTAATTGTACAACAGATGTAACTCTAATAAATCTCAGTTAAATAATAACATAATAAAAAAAAAAAAAGAAAAGAAAAGAAGCATCGATGTTGAAAGAAATCCTGATTATACTTAGAAAATTCCTTAGACATACATATATATATATATATATATATATATTTATTATGTTATAATAAATACACAAGTTACATGTTCTTACCAAAATTCATGCGACTTCTAACTATAATATATATTAATATATATATGCATTAACATATATTATAGTTAGAAGTCGCATGAATTTTGGTAAGAACATGTAACTTGTGTATTTCAAGAAGAATAAGCGCGAAGATCTATTGTAAATTCTAATTTATTCAAAGTGTGAGTTTATGTTTACATGTCGGACTAACTTCTAACACGAAATATTCGTAGCTCAATTAGCTGTGCCGATATCCGCGTCAAAACAATATCGTCAGCGATAAGGCTCAAGGATATGTAAGTGTAACCATTGGTTATAAACTTCCTCTACGAAGGCAGTTTCTAGACTTTTCTTAGGAATTCCTCAGTTTGCAGCTCCTCTTTTTCCTGTGGGATAGCGATCGTAAACGCTGACCAAACCTTGACACAGATCTACGTAATCATACTCGTGTTATCTCGATGCCCTTATCGTGGGTTGTCTGATTTAACTCCAGTTTCTGTTTTTTAAAGAAATGTATCACGCACCTCACGGTTTATCGCCACTTTCCAAATGTGTTTATATTATCAATGTCGGAAGTTTGACTAACTGATTATGATACTTCTCTGATAAAAAATGCTAAATGTGTACATAAGTCATTTAAAGTGAAATTAGTAAATATATTAGAACCGAAGTACCACTGTTATTAAACTTTGGATTTTATGGAATTATAAAAATATTTAGAAAAGGGGCACGATGAAAACTGTAATAGAATTTCATTCATCGTCCAAGATATTAAAAATATTGACTTTAAAAAAGTGCGAATGTTGCATATAAATTTGCAATGCGGTAATTATCATTAAACATATTTCCGTCAGCGAATCGCTCATATTTGATGTAACTCTGAAAAGTGGGGAAATAGCTATTTTTGTGTCTGATGAGTAACACCATTAGGGACAATTAACTCGAAAATATAGATTTTCCTTTAGTCCACTGTTCTGCTGAACATTTACCCCACAGTTATATTTCTGTTTTCGAGACGACCGAATGTTTTGAAATTCAAACAGCCAGTGTTGAAATACTGTTTACTCTAGAATTTAGAGACTGGATACAAGAATTTCACGATGAATAGTGTTATAACTCGCGAAGTAATTGAAAGTCGTAAAATATCAAAATAGATTGGAGATCTTTTCCATGCAAGAATCATCCGCAAAGCGTGAACAAGTTTAATAGTCATCAGACCAGATTCTTCGCGGGAAAACAAACGGGCATACATGAAACAGGACGTGAATAATATTTTCAAACAGACAAGTGTCTCTCTAGAATGCTTGATTTCGTGGTTATGAAACGTTCCGTGTTCCACGAACAAAGAATCATCCAGTAAAAATGTAATTACCCGGCTGACGTTTCCTTTATGACACATTCATTCGTTCTAACCTAATTTGCTTTTTCTTCAATTCATCAACGGTAACTAAACGCAACGTTTACTTTAACCGGTTGTCCGTTTTATTCGATTCCAAATATCGATCAACCATGCTTTCCAAATATAAACGGAATCCTCTACAGAAATAAAAATAACTCACGGAAATCGAAGAATTAAATGACACCGATACTGTGTCAAGAAAACAGAACTTTCACCGAAGAGTCTAAACAGTTACGGTCTCCAGCATTGTTTGGAAACCAGAATGCAGGAACAGGTTTTCTACCTGGGATAACGGGTTTCCAAATATTTACTCGGTTCCTTAGTTTCGGCGAGGTAACACGAAGTAGTCGATCGATAAAGAGAGTCGATAACGTGTAGCCAAGGGCGTGGTTTACCGGACAATATGACGTTCCTGAACGCCGCGCATGGGCTGAGCATCGCACGAAGCGCGCGACACGATCGCCGATCGCCGAATCGATCAAAACGATCAATTATGCGGGATGATCGCGCGGGTACTATCGATTTGGGCATGTCACGCTCGTTCATCTCGCTCGCGTATCGTCATCGAACCAGCGTCGAACAAGTTCAACAATAAAAGAAAACCATGAATGTTACTGACCTCGGTTGCTAGCTTCCCTTTCGACGCCATCTTGACAACAATAATGGCGGTCGGTCGACGTGCCGACTATGTATGTATGTATGTATGTATGTATGTATATACCTGCTGCACGCGGGGCACTTTACGATCGCCAACGATTTTCGAGGATACGCTGGAACACTAATTCCACCGTGTGCGCGAACACACGCGTGCGATTTGAACACGATCACACCCGTAAACGCAGAATTAAAACTCGATCGCGATCGACGAACCGCCTCGACACTATCGAAACACGTGCTGACGTCACGGCACGAAGCGTCTTTTCGTACTACCGTGTACTACGAGGAGTACGAGTTCACAAGCGACACGAAGGCACCCGGCTCGTCACAATCCTGCCCCACCACTTTGTTCACCGACTGATACAAGTCCCTTTCACTCGCTCGCTCTTAACAATTATAATAAAACTGATCCCACCTCTCTTTCCATTCAGATAACATCTCTCTCTCTCTCTCTCTCTCTCTCTCTCTCTCTCTCTCTCTCTCTCTCTCTCTCTCTCTAATGCCCAGCACTTTTTTAATATGCGACTAGTACTGAAGTACAAGTGTCGTATGGGACTTAGTTATTCTGTGTCGCACGAGTTGTCACATGTACACCTGCTACACCCTTTGCAGTCAGGTAATAAAATATATTGTATTTGGATTGTTTGTGTACCGACATTCGAATGCGTACAATTAATTTCCTAGAGAATAATAAGGAACAGCCTTATTCTACAATCTCCGTGCGGTGAACGATCTCATTGCGACGTTTAATGAATAATAATAATAATAATAATAATAATAACAATAATAATAATAATAATAATGAATAATAATCCTCAATTTGCATGGACTTAAACTTTCGATGCAGCATTTATATTCAATTGAATCTTATTTGAGTCTGGTTATCGAGTCAAGACGCTGAGCGATGATTTCAGTGTTTCCGGGGCATGCATGATCGCATACATCTTACCGGACAGATCGTAAACTCGTTTACGAGATTGAGGTTAGGTGTCATTCGAAGAAGATCATAGACATTCGTCTCTCTTTCCTTCTCCTAATCGGCAAGACAGCCGCAGCGGGGGGAAATTCGCTTTAATTCAGAGTGTATTAACCTTGCTGCACGCTTCTGCCCTCGTTGATCACGGTTAATTAAGCTCGGTCAAGCGGAGAGTACTTTTTTCACGAATTTCGCCTGACCCGGGAACGTTTGAATCACTGGCAGAATTGCGTACATCGGTTGTGCGTCGAACGTTCGATTGATTTAAAAAATCGAGAAATAGTATTTAAAAATTGGATTTTTAAATAATAACCTATACAATGAAATATTTTCTATATCCCCTTTCATATATCCTCTAACTTCCTTCATGAAAACACGTTTATTAAAATCCGATTTTACCAACTTAACGTGGCTTTCGTGTGACAAATTGACACACAAGACTCTTCTCGCATAAAATATTATCACACCTTTACGTTGTACGCTTTTCCATTGATAATAACAAATACATATACTCCATGTTAAAAAAATAAAAATCATAAAGTCTGAGATCGATTTTCCTAAAAATAGCAGAATAATATACTCTGAAACTTGAAAATAATGTCAAATTGACACTAGGGACGCGGTCGAGGGTTCAGCTTTATGAGTTTCCGTTTCGTACCAGTTTTTTTTCCACATTAGCTTGTAAACACTTCTTACGTTTTATGTATCGTATCACATAGATATTTTAGATCATAAGTACTGTCAGACGGTAAACAAATTGAAGAACTCCGTTCATTGCAGCCTTCTTGAACCCCATCGTTATCACAATGTCCATAAATACAGTTTTCCAAGTGGGAAAAGAGCTGAGAGAAATTATACCAAGAAAAGAATACACAAAAGTGACTGCGGAGATCGGTTCTCTAAATCGAGCCACGTAAAAATGGCACGGTAACGTGTACGCGACAGGGGCTATTTATTTTCGACCAGGAAGGATGTTCGAATCGACTTATTTCGTAAATGTCACGCCTAATTAATTTTCCACGACTGGGTACGAAAGTGTCGCCGAGTTTCCGACTCTATTCTTCCGGTCTCATTCGTTCCGCGCTCACGTAGCTGCATGTTACCAGCACTTGACGATCCGATAGGATTGCATAGGTATTGTACAATACTTGAAGCGAGACGTGGGCGGAACGCGAACTCACCGAGTTTTATGTAAAAGTCGGTTCCGGCGATGATGGCTGACCTACTAATAATTGAAAACCGGGAAAAATTTCCCTCGGCTCGGCGTTAATTCGCGTCCTCGTCGGATCCGAACTAGCCGGTTATTACCTGACGTTCTCGATAACGCGATTCGGTATCGGGGATGGCGAAAAAAGTCGGCATCGAAAAGGGAAAAGCAACCGTTTTTAAGCTGCGAAGGTCCGGGATGCTGTTCGAAGTGCAGTGAAACGCGGGTCTCATTAATCTCTCGCGGTACGAAATCTCTGGACCGCGTTCCGCACGCATATACACACGGTCATTTTTCAAGCCGGTGCATTACTGTCGGATGCACCGGGTGAGAGAGGAGAGGACTCGTGTCCAAAAGAGCCCGAGCCGAACTAAGTGCATGCGAAGTTCCAGTCTCCTCTATTTATACACACGCGCGATTTCATGCCGCGAAAACAATTCCTCGTTGACGCATTTGTACGCGCAATGATCGTCGATCAAGCGCATCGGTTTGTTTAGTATTTCATTTGAATACAATAGCCTACAAGTTGTAACACTTTGCTCGGTTTGCTTCGTGTACGTTTCGTTTATAATGCGCCTGCATCGTGCCGATTTGCACGTAGCATTGAATAATCGGACACTAAAATCGCAATATAGGTTCATCAATGTTGCCACTCGGTAACGAGTAGTGTTCCGCTAATGATCGCGTCTGCGTTAATTAACACTTCCGAGTCACCCTGCCGAGCCAATCAGCTTTTTATTTTTCCTCCGATCATCATTCGAAATGGTACTTACTAGAAAATACGAGCAGGTGCAATTTGGAAAATTTATTCGGCTGTCCCTTGCGATTGATACATTTTGCGCACTGATGTGCGAATAAGCACATCAAGGTAACGAAACCTCGCTCTATTTATTTAGCTTCGATAGTTGGTTGCGTAATAGTCTCGTTATTGACAGCCTGAATGCGATTTCGGGGTTGGAAACGAAAATATCGATAGACATCGATGTATGGATTTGTAGTAGCGGCGTTTATTGGTGCTTATCGATAACGTTATCGTTAAGCGACAACTCCGCGGAGGAAGCATCGGTGGCCGGTGGGCCAATCGCAACCTATTTGTTTCCAGACTGGTTCGTACGCGAAGCACGCCCAACCCCGAGATCATTATCATTACTGACTTCGTTCGGATCGGTATTACGTACGCGTGCCATAAAGTTGTAGCCACTGAGGGGTGGCAAGACAGCGGAAAAAGAGGGATAAGGAATATACGAACGGAAGAATGCGAGCCCCCTGTGTAGTTTCCGTGGGTCGGCATTACATATCCATTTCACGCTCTTTCCCTCCTGCGGTCGAACCGAAGTCAGCGATGGCTGCGAAACCAAACAAAACTTAACACGTTGGTAGTTAATATTACCTATTCAACATGACTACCGGCAAACCTCAACTCGTTTCACTCATATTCGCTATATTAAATTTTAGTATTAGTCACGGCCGTCAGAAATTAAATCATCGATAGACTGCGGATTTGTATGCAAAATAAAAATTATTAGCTAATGTAGGAACCATACAGACATTTCCTTCTTTTATTAATAATTTGATTGAGTCGAACATAATACAACGCTATCTGTAAATTATTTTTCAAAGACTCATATGGTTCAATTGCTTTGCGATTGACCATTTTAGAATTGACTTTCTATTTTTGTAAACCAGTGAGCAGCAGAATGTCTAGTGCGTAACGTGTTAATGTTTCTCTGAAGTTTCGAGAACATCGCATAGTACTAGCGGTAGTGTTTCTGTTTACGCTTCGCAGAATATTGCTGGTCCTTTGTGACCATTCACCCCTCTGGCCTCGTAAGCTTTAGGTTCCTCGTTATCGTCTGATGTGGTCAACGAGGTAAACGATAGCCGAATGCTGAACAAATTAGTTCTGAAATTAAATCATTATTAGAGACCACCACGTATAATTAGCCCTCAACATTCTTGGAACATTCTGTGGATAGAAAAGTTTCAATTCGAAAGAACGATATGAAACGTACAGGGTGTCCCAAAATTATGGTACTTCCGGGAAGTGAGGAGTTCCTGAGATCATTCGGAGTAACTATTCTCTCAGCGAAAGTGCAATCCGCGGCTTCTTTTACGAGTTATTAACAAAATACACTGACCAATAAAGGGCGAGATTAGCTCGCGCGAGCCAATGAACGGAACTGGGTTTCGTCCGCTCGTCGAAACGGTTTCTCGACAACATTTCTCGTTAATAACTCGTGTACGAAGCCGCAGATTGCATTTTCGCCAAGGAAAAAGTTACTTCAAATGATCTCAGGAACTTCTCATTTCCCGGAAGTACCATAATTTTGGGACTGTCTCTTATACACATCTAGATGTGTATAAGAGACAGTCCCAAAATTATGGTACTTCCGGGAAATGAGAAGTTCCTGAGATCATTTGAAGTAACTTTTTCCTTGGCGAAAATGCAATCTGCGGCTTCGTACACGCTGTCTCTTATACACATCTAGATGTGTATAAGAGACAGTCCCAAAATTATGGTACTTCCGGGAAATGAGAAGTTCCTGAGATCATTTGAAGTAACTTTTTCCTTGGCGAAAATGCAATCTGCGGCTTCGTACACGCTGTCTCTTATACACATCTAGATGTGTATAAGAGACAGTCCCAAAATTATGGTACTTCCGGGAAATGAGAAGTTCCTGAGATCATTTGAAGTAACTTTTTCCTTGGCGAAAATGCAATCTGCGGCTTCGTACACGCTGTCTCTTATACACATCTAGATGTGTATAAGAGACAGTCCCAAAATTATGGTACTTCCGGGAAATGAGAAGTTCCTGAGATCATTTGAAGTAACTTTTTCCTTGGCGAAAATGCAATCTGCGGCTTCGTACACGCTGTCTCTTATACACATCTAGATGTGTATAAGAGACAGTCCCAAAATTATGGTACTTCCGGGAAATGAGAAGTTCCTGAGATCATTTGAAGTAACTTTTTCCTTGGCGAAAATGCAATCTGCGGCTTCGTACACGCTGTCTCTTATACACATCTAGATGTGTATAAGAGACAGTCCCAAAATTATGGTACTTCCGGGAAATGAGAAGTTCCTGAGATCATTTGAAGTAACTTTTTCCTTGGCGAAAATGCAATCTGCGGCTTCGTACACGCTGTCTCTTATACACATCTAGATGTGTATAAGAGACAGTCCCAAAATTATGGTACTTCCGGGAAATGAGAAGTTCCTGAGATCATTTGAAGTAACTTTTTCCTTGGCGAAAATGCAATCTGCGGCTTCGTACACGCTGTCTCTTATACACATCTAGATGTGTATAAGAGACAGTCCCAAAATTATGGTACTTCCGGGAAATGAGAAGTTCCTGAGATCATTTGAAGTAACTTTTTCCTTGGCGAAAATGCAATCTGCGGCTTCGTACACGCTGTCTCTTATACACATCTAGATGTGTATAAGAGACAGCGTGTACGAAGCCGCAGATTGCATTTTCGCCAAGGAAAAAGTTACTTCAAATGATCTCAGGAACTTCTCATTTCCCGGAAGTACCATAATTTTGGGACATCCTGTAAATATAACTTTTACCATCCTCTGCTGTATTCATAAAAACTTACATTGATAGTGTTTGGTCCAAAAAGATGTTTTTAACATTGTTAGTCATTCTTTGTCGTTAATAAGTTCATTCTAATATGTAATATGTAATGTTGATTGATAACAGTAATTGCTGAATATAGACAAGAGTGAAATTGAATTTTTAATGTCATTTGAAACATACAAATGAAATCTATATTTAGTTGATTATCGTTCGAAAGTTTCATAACGAGTCCGACACCGCAAGGGGAAGATTATGTGGAAGAATATATTAATTAATATAAAAATGCGAAAGAAAAAGCAAAAATTTGTTTGTAGAATTCAATAAATCTTACTCCAATAAGGTGGTCATTGAAAGAGTTATTGTTAGCTTAATACATGGTCTGGGTCGTACAGACGTGAAACACCGTAAAAGAATGAAAACGTAGATTCCATAATTTTCTTAGATTTCACATTGGAGACTTGAATTGGTGGGAGCCACGAAAATATCTGTTCGTCTAATTATTGAGACACCATTCGAGAGGCCGGTTCCGTTTCCTCGTATCCTCAAAGCTCGAGGGCCATCAATCGCCAAACAAGGGGTGCGATGTGTGTCATAAAACAGGTCTAAAGAGATTCCGCCCAAAGGGGAGAGACAATGTGTAGGCGGTTGGTCAATTTAATTAAATTAATTGGTTGATCGTTACGACGGTACACAGCTCGGAAGTCACGCGCGTCCTTCTGCAGAGGGTGTGCACCTTGCGTCAATCGTTTACAAATTTGTCGGTCCATCCGATTGGCCGACACTTGTCCTTGACATTATTCCGGCCGGGTGACGTCCGCTTGCACGTAAGATAAAATAGAAACGACACGTGTACCTGGCCGTCAACGTCATTAAGTGCTTAGTGCGCGGCTCACAGTCGGGCAGCTGAAAGAATTAACATGGTGGGGGTAGTTCCATGGACTGATGTTTACCCTTCCAGAAATTCTAATGGTACGATCACGTTACTATGTTCAATATACTTTTGTATGCTGACTCAAATTGTGATCTTTACTGCCATTAAGTGCTCGATCTTTGTATGGACCCTCAATTGGTTGAATAGCCTGATTAGATTATGAATCTATTTCGACGATTCACGATGTGACTATGTTACTTATGGCAAAAGTTTTACCAGATATGATAAATTCTTCTTAATTGGCACTCAGATTCCGTACAAAAATGGACAATTTGGGAAGAGGCTTGAGAAGAGCCTTGCAACTCGTTTTTATAGTTACCGATTGTCAGCAACTAGAAAAACGAGCTGCAAGGCCCCTTTCTGTCCATTTTTATAGATTTCTTGTCCTCGTTTTTATAGTTGTTGAGAATCGGTAACTATAAAAACGAGCGACAAAGCTTGAATAATCGTATCTCCTCTCCCAAATTGTCCATATTTGTATACGATCTGAGCGTCAATTAGGGAGAATTTACTGTAATTGTTTCAAGTCATTAAAGCTGCAAGTGAGCAATCACCTTATAGTATAATGCGAATATTATTAAAATCTAGGACACCAGAGTGTAAATCGTGGATTTTCAAATAGGTAAAAACAAAGGTAAATAGAATCGTGATGTAAATAGCTGAAAATCGGATCAATGAAGAGGTATAGTTCGCGTTAGGTGCAGGTTCAAAGACATCGCTAGATATCTTTCACAGCCATGCGACCGGGTCGATCGTTGTACAGAGATGTGGGTCAGGCACACGCCCGAACCCCCTGGATTTTCATCTCGTCTTTTTCTCCGCCGGACACGCGTGTATAACCCGTAACTTTCATGGATGATCGTCTGTTCGCCATTTACGAAAACTCATCGATTATACGTCGAGGATGAACAGAGAGAAAAAACGCTTCAGAGCTCGGACGTCGTTACCCGGACGGAATGTCTATCGTATTGATTATGGTAGCACATCTATTATCGTAGCGATGCGTAGTTCATTCGGATAATCTTCGCCCGAAATCGTATTCGACGGCTAGACCGAATCATTAAATTCGTGAACAGTAGACTTTATGCGTTTCCGGTGCACGCGATTGCGCACGATTCGCTGCAACGGGAACTTGAAATTTAATGAACGGTCAGTTCTAGTCCAGTAAAACCCTTAACGAGGAACGATAAAATGTTCCTTAATTACTGGCGACTTGGAACGATATAGATAAATCTGAAACTTCGTGAACCAGAAGTTCATCGATTCGATAACACAGAATCTTTCGAAGTCAATCGTTTGTTGCAAACGCTACGCTGAGATTTCGGTCTAATTATTCACAATTTGCGTTGATGTTACTTCATTGTTACTTTAATGTTACTTCATTTATACTCTGCAGGAACAGTTCCCTCTAAAAATAATGATGCGAATCGTTTCTTAACCCCTTCACGACCAAGGGAAACATTTTTCCCGATTTTAAAATTGCTGATTGCCGTATTTAATTATTGATTATTTTTGGTACAAAAACGCAATTTGCCAGTACGCAACATGCAAAAAGCGGAAAAAAAATGAAAAGACATGCAAATTGTGTTAAACGCCGCATAGAAAATAGGACGCATAATATATGTATCATAATATATATACTTTGCTTCACACCCAAAAGAAATTGCTTCGCAGAATATCATAATTAGTACATCATTTTGTATAGTAATTTTTATTTCATAACTTTGTATTATTTTAATTAACATTTATAACCATATATTAACCATTATACATTTATAACCATTATATTAACCATATAATTTGTGTTACCTTTATAGTCCATTAAGAAAAATATTTTCTACAAAATTAAAAAAATAACTACATTTTTTTCTCATGATTTTTATTTATTTTACGTCTAAACAAACTAAATTAAACAATTACATACTAATATTTACCCTTAGCAACCTTACGGTCCTGTAAAGGTTAAAGGAGAGGCAGTGGAATATTTTAAAATTTGATACCTCCCTCCGCGAAGGATTACATCAGATCTATCATTTTTATCAGAGTTAAATATCTGAGTCGCATAATCTTTTATCTACTTCTCTGAAGTTTACCTGCGGATGCGGCGTGTGTTTTGAAAGCAGTAAAAGCGCAATTCATTTCAAACTCCATTAGAGAGATCCTTCATTTAATAGATCCTTCGGCCGCTAACTATCATAATGAATTCTGTAATCGGACCTTCTTATCGACCTTTCGCGCGATCAAGACTTCTCTAAATATACGTTCCTCCCTCCGAGACAAGAACTTTCGCAAGTGATTATCAGTTTCTTTAAACATTGGCCATTTAGCGACTATTCTCGGCAGCCATTTGTTTCTTGTTAAGCGTCGCATGTAGATGACGAATTTTACGGCGAAGTACACATGTTCTAAGCAAATCGTAAGCAACACAGTTCAATGAAAATGTGTTCTCTTCTTTTCATTATTTTTAATAAGTTAGAAACAATAGAAATATTAACAGATAGACACTTCATGATCTAATCATTTTTTATCTGAAAGTGCTGATGGGGATCAGAATTTGCTCCTCTTCGTTTCTATCATAATTGATCTTTCAAAATTTCACTCCTTTCATTTTAATTATGCTATCTTGAAATTCCTGAACGAATCTATTTTCGCTAGCAGTAGTCCTATGCAACGACTCCGTTATATGTACAAATTCTTACAAATGCAGAATGGAAAGTGAACAAGACAATCAAATATTTAAATAATTAATTATATTTCATATTTAGATAAATAATGACATGTCCAATTCATCGATTAATAGTAGTTATAATTTGTCCAATTCGGAAAGCCGTAGTCCACTTGATCGTCTAGTCGACAACCTTAGCCGGGATTCTCAGGCACACCTGGACATCTCCGTGCTCGTCAATCAGAGACAGTTGGATGATCAGGGCGATCTTGGGATATATCTTCTCAACTGGCATCTTCAGCTTGTAGGTGACAACCTCGCCCTTGTCCAGGGGGCATTCTGCGCCCACAAGACTCTTGCAGGCGTTCTGCTCGGGGAGCGGGTACTTGACGTGTCCGTTTCCAATTTGCACATCAACCTCGGGCCTCAGGGTCTTTGTGTTCGCAACTGTAACAGATTTTCAGACTGAGAACGACTATCCAACTCGCCCCTGAAGGCAGACGCAATACCCTTTCGGCCCTTTATCCGTGAATCCGAAATGGTCAACAGGACGATCAAAGTTCTACATTTAACAAAGCTAATCCGGCTAAATCGATACAGTTTAAACAAGATACAGATGGTTCCCAAAATTTCTGCACGAAATGAATTCCGTTTAACACTATGACTGTCACGGAAATGGGGGGATTTCTGAGGTCATTTCAAAAAGTTACTTCAAATGACCTCAGGGCCACCATTTTCGAATTGCGAGACATTTTTGTGGGACACCCTGTATACATTATAAACTATACATATGTATATTATAAAATATCTATATTATATTAAAGCATTATAGTATTTTTTAATTAAATAAAAATTCAAAGGTTAAATTGTAATTTTGTAATTTTCAAATCTGAGCAAGTGATTCGCAGTGAAAGTGTATAAATATTGTCCGACATTAAAAGTTTATTATCCAGTTTTCTAGGTGAAAGTCAAGACGCTAACTTGACACACTCGTTTCGAAACGCAGCTGTTTAAAGTTTCAAGTATCCATCTACGAGTATGAATTTGAAATCTATTTTATGTATGTATTTTCAAGAAGAAACGTAGTTGGTATTTTGTGAACATTAAACCACGGGATAGAGCAGAATCTTTTGAAAATGCAGCTTAGATTGGTTTTCGCAATCGTCTTGCGTATTATATTTACTTACGGACGGCGAAGTCGATGGCAGCTTCAACGTTGGAACCTCTCTTAAGGTCACAAGGAAGCTTGCTGCAGCCCACGATGTTGACATTCTTGGGAGCCGGACCATTCGCGCAGAGCTCGTGCGGCGACTGCATGGAGTCGGCGATGCAGAAAGCTGCGATGACGAGAACTGCAATCACCGGAGACATTTCGTTTCGTTATTACAGAACTACCGTACTCCCCTGAAATATCTTGGAGTTTTCAAATTTATTGGCAATCCGAGGGTTCTATGTGTTCCGTGCGCACTCTAGTTAATAAACTATGCGACAAAGTTTTTCGCAGTGCTGTGCGTGAAAATTGCGGCATCGAGAGATCACTAAGAGGAAACGTATTTTCATTTAGTATGCACGACAAATTGTGCAAATTGCTAAGCTTTAAGAAGACTAAAAAGTTGGTAGACTAGTTTATAAAAAAATCTGCGCTTTTATAAACATGTGCAGTATAGTTGTTGCAGTCTTTGAGAATAATATTTAATAATAATAATATTTAATATATTTGTTATATCTGATGGTAATGGTAATTTTCAGTAATAGTTACTTACCGTAGTGGATGAATGCCATTTTACTGGTTGTTGCGACTTGGAGACAACTGATAACTGCTCCATCCAAACAGCCGGTATTTATTTCGTGGTGCTATCTAATCGATTGGACGGGGGCAGTGGCAATCGTCATAAGAAATATTCAAAAACACTTGAAATCGTACACCTGACACCGGCAGACAATGAGCACCCGTTAGTTTACCGATAAAGACTAAATGGAAAGTCTTAAAATATCTCCAACGAATTGAGCTCGATATTAGATCGGAAAAATCGTCGATTTTCTTTGATAAACAACAATGTGTCAAGAGCCTCTCAAATAGATCCAACAGTCACATTTTATGTTATCGAAGGTACATAATTCCGTCTGCAGGTGTTCACTTGTATTTCGTATCGTTAGATGGAATCTATTAATTATCCTTCGAGAAGGATTAATCAAAGACCGAGTACTAAATATTGTTAATCTGAGAAAAGAGAAAACGCTAAAGACAAGATCAAATTCTAATTAGAGATCACTAAATTCATGATGTGACCTTTGTACAAATTTAATACATTTTGTCTATTTTTTACAGAATCCACATTATTAGACAACGATCGTAATATTGAAGATTCAATAATTATATCTTATTCTCTCAATCCTTGGTCGAGAATTTATCATGTTAAAAGGTGGGAACTCTATGTTAATAAATAATGAACTTTCATATGACGAATCTGTCAGATCGATCATTATTTATATTTTGTCGTCATGAATAATGAAAATAAAAAAAATTAATCCATATCGTTCACCGGTATAAATAACGAGAATTAAACGATATAAAGATATTTTATTCAGTCCAATCGGTACATTATAAGTTTCTTGAAGCTTGCTATTAGACTGCAGATCTTTATGCATATAGCGTATAAATGAACAAGATCTAACAGCATCTTTATTTTATTTGTACAATGAGTAATATTTTAGTTGTCCAAGAAAAGTTTTCTTTGATTCGAAATTTCGCAGAATGGTGTATAAAGATACGAATTAGCACACAGATCCGCAGTCTGCTTATGTTGCAAAAGGATCCAGAAATCGTTAACATAGTTTCGTCACCGAATTCTGATTTCCTATTGTATTATTTTTATTCATTGAAGGACTCTCATTCTCTGCCGGCAGCTCTTCCTTCATGGGAGGATTCTGCGTCACTTCGGAACGGGAAGCATTCGTTTTCTTCGTCCAAGGAGGTGCCTGCACGAATTTCTGGACGAGCAGGTCGCGCACGCAGGACGGCGTTATCCTGAACAACGCGTGATACAGGAAGTATCGCCATGATTCATGTCTGGATCAATAATTAAACAGCTCCGTTAGTCTGAGATAATTAATCTCTAATTGCATGAATTGCTCGAGATATCTGGAACTAGGCGACCGATTCAATTTATTGAAGTGGCCAGGTGTTCTCGTGCAGGTGTCAGTTATCCGAATGGAAAATAAAACTACGTGAACTGTAGATAGCACAGATAACTGTCATTGGCCGTTGGTTCGAAATACGATGAGCACTGTCAACGAAAGTTTCACGTTCGTGTTCGAACAGTTCAGACGTGGTGCTAGAGAGATCGGTCGAATCGATCGGTATATATATATGCTCGAAACAATTCGAAAGTCCATTAAGATTTGCCAAATATGTTTAACATTTTATTAACGTAGATTTCGAAATTAATATCTTATTAAAAAGAATTTACTAGCAGATTGCACATTCGAGAAGAAAACGCATTAAAGCTATCATCTCATTCTTCAAGATCTTCGAGTCGTTGTAAGAATACGATCTTCGAATTGTTTCGAGAAATCCTGCGATTCTTGCGAAGGGCTGCAATTTCAAAGCTGACGCACTTATAAAGCGCTGACGGATATTTGTCAAGCAGTGCGCCTTCAAAGATCTCGTAGATCCTCGGGTCTGGCAGCTTTTCCAGGTTTCCACCGTGCGCTACGGATCCGAAATATTGCGAGTAGCTGGTGAAGTAATCACCGTAGAAAGTCCTCGCTTCCTCTGTCATCGACTTCCTCATCGTCTCGAAGTATTCAGTCTGCCGGGCCAATATGTTGCTCTCCCTGAAGAAAGACCCTGTGAGAAGGTACAATATAATATATTTCTCCTTCCAGTTCCGCGACTTTATCGAATATTATCGAATGATTTATCGGTAGAAGTCTTTATTCGAGAAGTCTTTCATAAAAAGTTTTCGATGCAATTCAAAGCAGTAGACAAATTAAAACAATTCAAGATTATTGAAGGGAGACATTAATGTTTACTTGACCACTGTTTCTTGAAATAGATGCAAATCATTTTTCTTTTAGTCTGGAATGTACTTATTACTGGATTGCGAATTTTATGCATTCATGAAAAAAAGATGAGTACAGTATTGACGCTAATTGACGCTCGGCTAATTGACAGGAAGAGGTGGTACGATTATTCGAGCCTTGCAACACGTTTTTATAGTTGTTGACAATCGTTAACTATAAAAACGAGTTGCAGGGCTCGAATAATCGTATCTCCTCTTTCCAAATTGCCCATTTTCGTTGACAAGCTGAACGTCTATACATCAAATTTAAAACAGTAGACCCATTAAGAAAATGTAGGACTGTCATTATATTATTTTCAAGTTAGTCAAATTGTTAAAGAAAGAAAGACGTTTCTACCTGACAAATGGTTGTTCGCATTCACAAATACAATTTTTATTTTGCTCGTATTATTATTGCACGTGGAAATAGGCAGGACGGTCTGTGGTATGGTTATTCGTGATACAAATAATGTTGGGCAAATCTTATGGCTCGAAATAACGCGAAAATCAAGAATATTAATCAGTATTGTGGATTTCACTATACAACATAGAGCACTGGTGTAATCAGTCTTTGCACCTGATACAAATGTCGGCTACTAATTATTATCAACGCTTATCGCGTTAACGCGTTTTTCTTAACCAGCTTAAAGCAATCGGGTAAATCAGCGATCCGTACGTACTGATTAATAATCAGTGATCATTAATTAAATGCACGCGTATTCGACTGATTTTCAAACACATTTTTCTCGGAAACAAAGCCTTCTACACAATTTCATTGTTCGCGATTTTCATCTTACAACGGCGGTTATTTACAACTGACGTGTGACGCTTGATTTTAAATATTTATTCAATATTTTTTTACGAAAATGTCTGTATAGATACAACAATTGGAAAATGTAAAATATGAAACTGGTCATACTGATCGCTATTTAATGTTAATATTGCGCGTCCGCTACTGTTTCGAGCCATAGAATCTGCCTGACTTCACTTATGCCGTGAATATTGATTACAGACCAGGGATAAAGCAGACGACCTTGACGCCATACTTCTTTAGCTCGAGCCTCATGGCGGTGGCCCAGGCTCCAATCGCAGCCTTGGTCCCGCTGTAAGCTGCCACCCCAGGGATCGGCTGGATGTTACAGTGGCTCGAGATTACAACAATCCGGCTGGAGTGCGCTCGGATCATCGGCATCAGTTCTCGAGTGATTCTCATCGTGCCAAGGAAATTGACTTCCACTTGACTCCTGATCTGCTCCTCTGTTTGCCATTCGAATTCACCGAAGATCATCAAGGCGGCGTTATTGATCAAGCATCGCAGCTCTGTAAATAGATCATTCTAATATTCGTTAACCTACGGAGCTCTAATCCGTAATCAATCGCGTTATCGGAAACCGGATAAGCTCCAATCAGAGCCCAGCAAATCAAATTGTTACCCGGATATATTGATCGATAATTGTCCGACTACTTTTCTTAGTTTACAGCGTAGATTTTTCCCTCGTTTCAGCTTTTCTGAAATAATGCATGAAAATGGAAGATGTCGTATAAGTTCTGCAGTCTAATTATTGTTCGTTGAAATTAAATGCGATCGGCTCTGACATTTCCAATTCTCGTTGTTATTAATACTTTTATTAGCTGCTCGAATACCCAACAACCTCGGCTTGCTGAATATTAAAAATCTCCATTTGTTTACGCGTTCATACTGAAACTGTAATCATTACTTTGCATTAATTCCAGAGAGCGGCGTGATGAAAGCGTAACTCACTACCCGAGGCTGCTGTATAAACATGATATAGAACCTTGTACGCGTTATACAACATGCAAAATTCGTATGGTGGTGTAATGAACGGAACTCGGCTAGATTATTATCATGAAACCGTAATATACACAATTACTTCGCGTATAATTAATCCGAATGATATTTTGAGATCAACACAACGATATTGTGCATCATGCACATAAAATTCGATGCTTCTCTGTAAACTTAGCTTCGTTATCGCAGTAACAAATGCGCAACACATAAATTTGATTTCAGTGAATTCTTATCAGTAGACTGCGGATTTCCTACACAAATTCTCATTTTCATACGTCATATATCAAATGTGAATTTGAGAATACCGAAACAGAAAATACTGAATCGAAAGACAGCGATCAGCTTTAAACACTGAATTTTAATTACTAATTTTATATTCCGAGAATACATATCAACATTTGGACGTTTATGAAAGTACAGTAAATTCTCCCTAATTGATGCACAGATTGTGTATAAAAATGGACAATTCCGGAGATACGATTATTCGAGCCTCGTGGCTCATTTTTATAATTGTTAACAATCGGCGACTCCTCTTCCCAAATTATCCCAAATTTTTGTTTACAAGCTGAGGGACAATTGGGGAGAATTTACTGTATAGAGTAAAGATTAGAGTAGAGTAGACATGAAGTGTAATAACAAAAAATTAGAAGGCGAAGCAAGTACAGTAAATTCTCTCAAATTGTCCATAGCCTTACCGCTTTCCCTTCCTTTTCCCACCAAAAACCACCGTCATTTCTTCAGCTGTCAAAAATCGTATCTCCTCTTCCTGAATTGTCCATTTTTGTGCACAATCTGAGCGTCAATTAGGGAGAATTTACTGTAATTCGATTTTAGTCCAATATTCTTCAATTCGACCACACTGTGAAGCGCGACAATTTTTTTCGAAATAAAGTGGTGCCCGTACAGCTGTCGCAAATTCGAGAATTTACGCAAATCCACGAGAAAAGGTAGAATTGTTCACACCTCCCAAGGGCTTGGGAGAGTACGATAAGACTTCGGTTTAGCAATCCAGGGTCCAAAAACCCAGCAAGGACCAGTTTCAGTTTGTTTTTCTTCAAGTAGGAGACGTGAGCGTACCGTGGGAAGCCAGCCGAGCTTAACAGGTGGCGTGAATAGAACGCGACAGTCGTACGGGTGTAACTATAAACCTCGCTCGTTGTAAGTATTCGGTCGCAATTCTTCTCAGAGTAAACAAAGGAGTAATTCACCTAAATTCTCCCGTTCCAAGATCGTCCGTACGGANGTAAGCTGCCACCCCAGGGATCGGCTGGATGTTACAGTGGCTCGAGATTACAACAATCCGGCTGGAGTGCGCTCGGATCATCGGCATCAGTTCTCGAGTGATTCTCATCGTGCCAAGGAAATTGACTTCCACTTGACTCCTGATCTGCTCCTCTGTTTGCCATTCGAATTCACCGAAGATCATCAAGGCGGCGTTATTGATCAAGCATCGCAGCTCTGTAAATAGATCATTCTAATATTCGTTAACCTACGGAGCTCTAATCCGTAATCAATCGCGTTATCGGAAACCGGATAAGCTCCAATCAGAGCCCAGCAAATCAAATTGTTACCCGGATATATTGATCGATAATTGTCCGACTACTTTTCTTAGTTTACAGCGTAGATTTTTCCCTCGTTTCAGCTTTTCTGAAATAATGCATGAAAATGGAAGATGTCGTATAAGTTCTGCAGTCTAATTATTGTTCGTTGAAATTAAATGCGATCGGCTCTGACATTTCCAATTCTCGTTGTTATTAATACTTTTATTAGCTGCTCGAATACCCAACAACCTCGGCTTGCTGAATATTAAAAATCTCCATTTGTTTACGCGTTCATACTGAAACTGTAATCATTACTTTGCATTAATTCCAGAGAGCGGCGTGATGAAAGCGTAACTCACTACCCGAGGCTGCTGTATAAACATGATATAGAACCTTGTACGCGTTATACAACATGCAAAATTCGTATGGTGGTGTAATGAACGGAACTCGGCTAGATTATTATCATGAAACCGTAATATACACAATTACTTCGCGTATAATTAATCCGAATGATATTTTGAGATCAACACAACGATATTGTGCATCATGCACATAAAATTCGATGCTTCTCTGTAAACTTAGCTTCGTTATCGCAGTAACAAATGCGCAACACATAAATTTGATTTCAGTGAATTCTTATCAGTAGACTGCGGATTTCCTACACAAATTCTCATTTTCATACGTCATATATCAAATGTGAATTTGAGAATACCGAAACAGAAAATACTGAATCGAAAGACAGCGATCAGCTTTAAACACTGAATTTTAATTACTAATTTTATATTCCGAGAATACATATCAACATTTGGACGTTTATGAAAGTACAGTAAATTCTCCCTAATTGATGCACAGATTGTGTATAAAAATGGACAATTCCGGAGATACGATTATTCGAGCCTCGTGGCTCATTTTTATAATTGTTAACAATCGGCGACTCCTCTTCCCAAATTATCCCAAATTTTTGTTTACAAGCTGAGGGACAATTGGGGAGAATTTACTGTATAGAGTAAAGATTAGAGTAGAGTAGACATGAAGTGTAATAACAAAAAATTAGAAGGCGAAGCAAGTACAGTAAATTCTCTCAAATTGTCCATAGCCTTACCGCTTTCCCTTCCTTTTCCCACCAAAAACCACCGTCATTTCTTCAGCTGTCAAAAATCGTATCTCCTCTTCCTGAATTGTCCATTTTTGTGCACAATCTGAGCGTCAATTAGGGAGAATTTACTGTAATTCGATTTTAGTCCAATATTCTTCAATTCGACCACACTGTGAAGCGCGACAATTTTTTTCGAAATAAAGTGGTGCCCGTACAGCTGTCGCAAATTCGAGAATTTACGCAAATCCACGAGAAAAGGTAGAATTGTTCACACCTCCCAAGGGCTTGGGAGAGTACGATAAGACTTCGGTTTAGCAATCCAGGGTCCAAAAACCCAGCAAGGACCAGTTTCAGTTTGTTTTTCTTCAAGTAGGAGACGTGAGCGTACCGTGGGAAGCCAGCCGAGCTTAACAGGTGGCGTGAATAGAACGCGACAGTCGTACGGGTGTAACTATAAACCTCGCTCGTTGTAAGTATTCGGTCGCAATTCTTCTCAGAGTAAACAAAGGAGTAATTCACCTAAATTCTCCCGTTCCAAGATCGTCCGTACGGACTCTGCGAAGTCAGTCACGCTGATGGGTTTCGTAACATCCAGAGAATAAACAAACGCATCGTTCTCCATTAGCTTCTTCGCCCCAGGACTGTCACTTCGTAATACGCCGGCGATCACAGTCGCCCCTAATTGGCGACAGTGCAGGGCTAAACTGTATCCTAGTCCTGAATCGCAACCAGTCACGATGACCGCATCATTAGGGCGAATTTTGACTCGGGTCTTAATTCGAGAGTACAAATAGGTTCCACCTGAAAGGAAAGAGGATTTCTTCCAAGTCGCTGTGATCACTGTATGTATTGCTCGATTAATACCCATGCTTTATAATATCATGTCAGATCGGATACTTTCAGAATCCATGATTGCTTTACACTTGAAATTAGAAAATTATGCTTCATTTATAATTTATATCTTAAAGAAGTATCAGAAAGAACCGGAAACCGGATAGAATTCGAAAATTATACGGTATTTAAAAAATAATTCAATTCTTTTTTCCGGGGAACAAAATATAATATTATATTTTAGTTTCTATATATAATAATTTGCCGTAGGCAAAAGAAATTTAATATTTGTTTTAACTCTAAAACTGTGAAAATAATATATACAAATATTAAATTTCTTTTGCCTACAGCAAATTATTTCTGATTAAATATGTGCTTTGCGAAAGTTCGACAGTGTCTTCGTGTAGTCTTGCACTTATGAGACAGATTTTATCCTATCGATTTTAATTTATACTACAGCGTATAGTGTTTGTAACGAGTCATCGACTTTTCTGCTGATGTGAGATCCGGATAGAAGGATATACAAAACCAGTAAGTAGATAAGAGTGAACACGCGGCAATAGAGATTTTGTGTAATATTGAATAATGTATCATAACCCGTTCCGTGCCACGTGTCTCACCAGTAGTACATGCTTACATGTTTATTGAATACGCTAAAAAAATAGTTTATAACAAATTTAAGACGGAAGAATTAATTTCCACCACAAGAATGGGTCAAGATTAGCTTTGTTGCATTGTTATATATGTATATACGATAATTAATAATTACATATAATATATCAAGTTTCAACCAAAATATCAAATGGTCAGAGTGACAAGTCAAGTAAAAACAGCTCGGTACGGAACGTGTTAAAGATACGAATCTGTGTAATATCCTACTACTAGTGTAACAAGTATTTGGCAACACTTGCTCAAGGTCAGAAAGTTTCACCCTTTTACACATTTATAAAAATATTTATCTGAACTTCTAGAACTTCTAGAGAATATTGTAAGAATTTCGATTTAATCTATCAATTTTTAGAGATGTTTATATATACATATACATAGTATACAATGTATAACTGATACAATTAAATAAGAAAAGAAGTATGTTGATAAATAAAGATCTAATATAACACAAGGGTTTTTTTTGCTTTCACTTACCGATACAACACAAGGAAACAGCCGACGCAACATATTTGTGTCCCCTGTTCCACGAATAAATAAAACCAAGTGAGGTCGCAAGATCGACGGCGAGTATTGTAGAATGTTTTCTCAAGTGTTTCACTATTTCCATCTTCGAATTGACCCGACCTTGGTGGTTGGTAAGTCACCCCAACGGTAACACAGCTCTTGTATCCCGGCGATTGAATCTCTATCAAGATTTATCCATATACATATTCTGTATTTTCAAACAATATTTAAAATCACCGAATAAAAAGATTAATACAATATCTTGTACCCGGTGTACACAAACCGCGCGAGAAGGAAACAAACTAACGTTTCGCGTTATCATTTTATAACAAGTACTGTTCCTTTTATAGCAAGGTAGCACGTGGATTACAAATGGTGTGCACTCTGCGGCTGATCTAATTGTAAGGGCCCAATTTAAAACAGCAGTTACCGTAAAATCGCTCGACGCACACGCGTAAACAATAAATATCCGAATGTAACGAACGAGCACAAGGTTGAAACGATCCTGTTCTCGTCCTAACAGCAAATGGCTGCTATGGGACGTGAAAAGAAAGAAAATAAACTGCCCCACTCTGCTACCGTTCGTTACGGTGCTCCTTTTTTGAAATTCAAACCGGAGGATCAGATCTGTTCGTGAGGTTCACAGAAACGTTTACCGTTCAAGATAAACAAGCACTGCTACGGAATCAATTTCAACGAGTACGTTCTTCATACTGTTCGCCATAAAAAGTGTCCTACTAAAAATAACTAGAAATCAAAGATTTCATCGGAAAAAAAATCAATTGATTTCAAACGGTGCACCATGAATGATTTCGAAGTTCGTTTATTTTATCGAAACTTAGAATTAATCAATTTTTAACAGGAGTGTTTTGGTACTTTACAGTATATAAAAAAGCTCTATCTTCAAAAAAGCAGTGATCATATTATAATTTTTTGTTTGGCAGTTCTCTCTAATTAAACAAGACACCCTATATACAGTTATCAATGAGAGAAATTGGAAAGAATTCAGTTCCTTGAATAATTACTGATGCTGTTTCACCGTGTGAATTTATTCTAAAGACAAAATTTATGATTCGTTTCATTATATCGTCGAATATGAAGGTATCTGGAGGCGCCGATCTCATTGGCTAAGAGGTTTTAATATTTCATGGGGGAAACGTTTCTTGGATCCGTCGCTAGACTCTCATTTGAATTGCAATCACGGTCACGTCTTGCGTGAATAAATCGATTACCATGAATTTTCGGAATTGTATCTCCGGTGTTATTTCCACCAAAGAAGATACTGACACTAGGAACTATTCAGAAAATGTATTTCCTACAATGTTTAAATACAATACGATTTTTTTTTATTAGATACAAATTGGAAATATCTGAACTTTCTCGACCGGTCAATCAGTTGAGAGATCAGAGATTTAAATTTGGAATAAATTATAATTTCGGCTTAAAACAAATATAACTACATACGTATATGACTAAACCAATCCGTTTCGAATCGAAATCACAAACGTGGAATTCTTATCAACTGAATTTGGGAAACCTGGCAGCCATTTTTATTCACGCTATCGCACACAATAGTATAAAAAGAACTAACGGTTTGTTTAAGGACGTACGCAGTGTTTTTGGAAAATGTTTGCAAATATTTACGGAGCGAAATATACAACACAGTTATAAGGCATACTTTACATGAAAATTAATAGATGTTAGTTCTAACAATACAGTGTACCTTAAACTAATTATTCACGTTGAATGAAAATCATACTTCCGACGATACACGTTTTTCGTTTGACTGATAACTCGTCAGATCGGCTATATTACACGCGTCATATTGCCATAAGCTGGCATTCATTCCATTCACTTTATACTCAATTGTTCCTTTCGAATCTTTCTTTAAAGGTTTGAGTACATTAAATGCCGACAGATTAGTCGGCAACTATAACATTAGGATTCGCGTGAAGGTCGTAAGACGGGTCCCCATCAGTGGCCATTCTTCCAAGCCAAGAGAACAAAATTAAAATTCCGATAAATGTTAATATGCCCATAACGCCTATCATTGCGTATCTTTTATACAATGCCCCCGGTGAATTCCTGCGTCTCGGTGGTGGACTAACTATGAGCTTCCACCACCTTAAGAACCATTCCATGGCCGACTTCCTCTTGTATTTGTTCTCGTCGTGATCGAACGATATCTCTTTCGGATCGTCATAAGCCTCACAAACTTTTCGTGATGTCGGGTTGGACAATCCCAAGGACGAGTCGATATTTACAATAGAATAAGGTGGACCCATTTTCTGACTGTTTAAATGCACATTATTAATATTTGTGTGTACTGAATTAACACTACTAGAAGTGCGTGATGTGGCTACTGTAGGAATCGATGAGGTTGTTATATGATTTTGGTACGATGTAGATTCTACTCTTAGAGGTGGACGCTCTTGCTCTGGTTTCTGCTCTCGATCTTCACTGAGCTGTAATAGAAATAATATATTTGTACAATATTTTCATATTATAAATATATCTAATATGCAATCGATTGAAATATATACCAAAGGTAAGCCAAGACCAGCTCTTGCCCAATTAACTCCTGCTAATTTCTCCCTCAACACATCAGCTACAGGGGATACTAATATTGAATTTGGAAAAATGCACTCCTTGCATGATGGACAAGTATATCCTGCGGGTGCTGTTATCGATGGCATTTCCCTGGCATATTTATCCAAACATGCCCAATGAAACATGTGGTAGCAAGTTAGCCGAACACAGTCACCTTCATTTAAGTTCACCGAGCATAAGGTACAGATAGGATTGTAGTCATGATCGTGAAGCCATAAGATATATGACTGTACAATACACTGAAAAAGATATAAAGTATTATAAAGATACAAGCAGGTGTTTATTAGAAGAAAATACATATACGTATTATTCAAAGCTACACATTATTTGTTAACATTTGTGTAAATAATTTTGCAAAATCGAATGTTTTTGTTGAGAAATTTTTTATCAACACTGTAAACTGTACATAAACATTCAATTATTAGTAGCATTGATTTAATGCGATTGCGTCACTGAGATTCTAGACGGATTTATACTTCTGCATTTATATTAAATCCATTACAACCTACCTTTGAATGATTCGTAACCATACAGTGTTCGCAAACATTAACACGGTGTTCAAAACAAAATAAATTGGTTACTCTCCGTTTCGGACACTTGCACAGCCCCATGTTTTGTGAATTCAACACATTCACAGCTGCAAATAATTCAGAAGAACAAAATGAGGGCCTAGTTAATAAACAGCACTCCTACAAATTGGTCTTTTCACATGACATATCGTAGTAGTCTCATGACAATTTCAATCTTTATGTAGTGTGACACGGCTCCATGTTTCATCGGCCACGTCGTCTGACATTTACCTACCACGAGAAATAGAGAAGAAAGCACCAATAAGATTTTTCTGCCGTATCTCACCAGCGAATCATCGTCTCTCTTTAACAACATAGGCATGGACGATATATAAGAATAGATCTAACATTCAATATATGTACTTCTGTGATTCAATTCTATGAAATATAAGTGCTTTATTACTGCTTTCAACCATCCACAATTTAATCAGCAAATTACTTAATGGCGTATTCCTTTTAAATTATCTATACAAATTATTAAAACATTTTTTAAACATAATTACGAATGATTCTTACCATTTTTGCTATGTATATAGTATTAAAAATTCCGGCAAATATCATCTGGTCGCCATGACATGTAGTGGCAAAACACTCGAACCATTCGTCAAAATTATCTACAGATGATAATGCTAAGAACATAGACTTAGAATCCGTACAGATATTGCATGAAATGCTGTTTTGTCTCAGGATCTGAATTACCGACTCTGTAGAAAATGCTGCGATACGATAGAGATAGTCTATAAAAATAATTACACTATGTCGTATTTCTGTAGTACATGTTTCATAAATACTAATTCTACTATTTACATATTCGTATCGTACACGCTTATTGCCTCCAAGTAATATTCAGCACTCGTAGTGGAAATGAAATATATGTATAGGATATTCACTTCTTGCTAACATGCCTATTTTTTCATGAACTATCGATAATGATGATCGCGACACGAAATGGTAAGGAGGCTCTAGAGCCTTCCAAAGCTGAGACAGAAAGCCTATAAGATATAAGATGCAATGTCTGTCAGATTACGGATCCTAAGTCTGTGCTAAGGATTTAAGTGATATTAGTTTTCTAGTTTATCGACAATATTAATTAACAATTTGTATTAATTTGTAATTCTGTTGATTAATAATTTGTAACTGGATGGATCGATCATTTCGCTCGCTTGAACGTAGACCAATTGCAGTTATGTATTAGCAAATTTGAAAATATCAATCTGTCGCTCCTACTTTATCAACTGCTGGACTTGAAATGATAGACGACAGGTCGCGCTAGGCAAACCTACCACAACGAAATACATACAATGTTTAGCAAGGAATATCTTGTGAACTACTAATTTCCCTTCAAATTTCATCGCGATTTCGATCGACGAACTGGTCTCTTTCGGAATATGACTGAGTTCTTCACCTGCAAGTTTTTTCCCTCCATTTATTGCGCACTAACTTCGCGCAGATTTTCCAGAAAGAGGACGATATACAATGACATATGACGATGACAGTATGACAGAGAGAAATAGAACGATACAGCATAACGGTCGTCTCATTCAAATCGAATCTACTCTTTGTCATAAAGTTTACGTTCAAGCGATTGAATCTAATCGAATCACACCTCAGGAGTAGCGAAATTGTCTGAGACTGTCATATCCTCAGTGAATCCAACAAATTGAAGGTAAGTGATCACATTATCTTGTGTACTTTCTATCCAGCATTGTTTTCTTAAATTGTAAGACTGTGCAGTGAACGGTTCGTAAGAATAACGATTTGAAGAAATCTATGTATGGAAACAAATCGAGAAGAAGGAATAACATTTCTCTGTTTGAAGCTTCGTTTACAAGAAAATCGAGTTTGGAACTTGTTACAAGCTCACACATATCATGATACATGTGATTACGATCATTTTCGTTTATACTATCGCATTCATTGTCTACTGTAATATTTACATTCTGTCTTAAATCGTATGGCCAACAGCTATTCTTATTGTTAACCTGTTTGTATCAATCAAATTTTAAACTGATGTAAAAATTTCGATTATACCTTATACTCATGTAAATTCGTATGATTTTGAAGCAGGAAACCTTACAGATGGATGAAAGTTTCAATCAGTGGTCTGATGTAGCATCTGACAACGATGAGGATATCATTGAGGGCAGATCATTCATGATATCTGATAGCGATGAGGATATCGTTGAACATATCGATAAACAACAAGTTGTCGTAATCGAAAGCAGTAGTAGCAGTGAGAACTGTTCCAGGAATTTAAGTCCAGAGAGGTAATCACATTGTTTCTGTTCCTGCACTTGTCAAATTATCTATTGTTTTTGCATTGATAATTTCACATGTTTTCCTTTGAAACTTCTTTCAGACAAGCTGCAGCATCAAGAAAATCTCCCTTTACAGAAAATGCCATTAAGAAGAGTGTTAAGAAGCATATCCTTCAATATTCTGATACGGAGGAAGAGCAAGAGGAGGAGGAAAATAGCTACACACCTAGTCTTCCTAATTTAAGCAATGGCATTGAAGAAGATGGTAGTTATTACACACCTTTAAATACAAAATTAGACAAAATAATATATTAGTTTGTCCGGAAAGTTCATTTCAAATCTTTTATATGAATTCAATGAAACGATTCTTGTGGATTGTGAAACAAACTTTCCGATCAACCTAATGTACAATTTGAAAACAATAGTTCGGAAAGTTCGTTTCATTGAATTCATATAAAAGATTTAAAACGAATTTTCCGAACAATCTAATAGTTGATGGAAAAATAAAAACTCAGGAAAGATTTAGAAACAAAGCGAGAATAAGAATAGATTCACATTCTGGGAATACTGTCCACAGTATTGTGCACGAAAATGAATCGCATGATATTAGTATAACAGAAAAACACAACAGTGAATCAATATGAAAACAGGGGATGAACTTATATCTTTAAATAGTTCGTTCAATATAATTCTTCAGAAGAGAGAGAGTGCGAGAGCATGTTATAAAATTATGTGTATTCAATTCTGTTCTTTTTTAGGAGCTTCATCGAATGAGAAAGAAATGGAATCAGAAGTTGTAATATCTCTGGCAAAACAAGAAATTGGAGTTGGTAATATTGATCCAATGGTTGCGCAAAAGAGAGCCTTATTAGTTTGTAAAATGGAACATTTACAGACACAGCTGAGAAAATCAAAAGTAAATATGGTGTTTTGTAATGAGAATACAAAAATTTATTTCATTTCCATTGTTTGTATTGTGGATCTTTAGTTGCTCTTAGAAACTGGTAACATCAACTTATTACCGGATGGAGGTAGGAAATTACGTGAAAATATCGAGATGCAGGAAAAAGAAATCGAGGAAGTCGCACTAGAATTACAGAATACTCCGCTCACGCAGGATGTTAAAGGAGAACCACATGACCTCAAAGAAGTAATAGAGTCAGTTAAAGAACAATTTGTTGATGAAGAAAATCCCTACTTATGCAATTTCGATTCTTCCATTGATGTGAATAGTATACCAATCAAACCGAAATCATCTCCACAAACGAAGGAACTGGGTAAAAAGGCTCAAGCGACTCTGGACAAAGAATTAGCGTTGACGGTAGATAGGTTGCAAGATTTACACGGATCTCTGATCGCTAGACCGTCTGAGGACGAAAGAGCTGAAGATCCACAGGGTTTGAAAGTCAAGTTGATGCCACACCAGCAACACGCATTGTTGTGGTTGCAGTGGAGAGAAGGACAAAAGCCTCCCGGAGGTGTTCTCGCCGATGACATGGGCTTGGGAAAGACCTTGACGATGATATCGTTAATACTCGCTGATATTGCAAGTAAGAAGCTGAAAGACTCGGACGACTGTAGCGACGAAGAATGGGCAGATTACAATGCACCATTGCGCCACAAGGGAGGCACGCTAGTGGTTTGCCCAGCATCATTGTTGTCACAATGGGAGACGGAGATCAGCCGCAGATGCAAGCGAGGCATGCTCGCGGTTGAAGTTTACCATGGTAGCTGCAGAGAGAACGTTCCTAAAAGATTAGCAAAGAACGACGTGGTGATTACGACATACAACATACTATCCCGCGAATTCAGAACAAGAGCCACAGCTTATAAGATCCATTGGGAGCGCGTAATACTTGACGAGGCGCATGTAATTCGTAATCATAAAAGTAAAATGGCAGAGGCGGTGCACGGTCTAATATCCAAGAAACGGTGGGCTCTCACTGGTACCCCTATTCAGAACAAGGAGATGGATTTGTACTCTATATTGAAGTTCATAAAATGTTCCCCGTTCGACGATTTACGGGTTTGGAAACGATGGGTAGATAATAAAAACGCTGCCGGTCGTCAAAGGCTAGCCACCGTGATGAAGTCCCTGATGCTTCGTAGAACAAAACATGAGCTGCAGGTCAAAGGCAATCTGGATACCTTGCCCGACAAATGTATAGAGGAAGTGTTGGTAAAGCTCGACCCACAAGAGCAATTGGTGTATGAAAAGGTTTTGATTTATTCTCGAACGTTGTTCGCTCAATTTTTGGCACAGAGAGCTGAGAAGGATCACATGTACGATCTAGCTTCGGGAAGATACGATCAACCGACTTTTCTTTCAAATCCTAGTATGTATGCGAGTAAAATGGTACATACTTCTTTCTGAAGCGTTTCAAGCATCAAATCTTGTTAAATCGCGATCTCTTTTCAGACATGAATACTCAGTTCACAAAAGCGCAAAACAAATTACTGTCAATGCATGCTGATATCAAAACGCACGAGATCTTGGTTCTGTTGCTACGTCTACGTCAAATTTGCGTCCACCCATGCCTCATTCATTCTATGCTGGATCAAGAGGACATGCAGGATACTGGGTTAACGGATACTGACAACGTGGACGCTAACTTGTTATCGAAAATGGATGGTATGACGTTAAACGATGGTGAAAATGAAGACAATGCGAACACAAGTGAACAAGAGATAGGCATTGACCGCAGAGTAGTAGCCAATGTCCTCACATCTGAGAACCCAGTCTTTCAAGCTGAGCACGTCAGTTCTAAGGTAAACCTGCTACGCGATCCTGATTAATTTCCTCTGGACTTGTTATTCAAATACAATGGATCGTTATAATATTCAAATGTAAGTTTAGATACCGAAGTAATACAAGTTTCTTTGTGCTTAGATGCAAGCGGTATTGAAAACAGTGAAAGAAATTTTGAAAAAAGACGATAAGATGATCATTGTATCTCAGTGGACTAGCATGCTGGATATCGTAGCAGCTTATTTGCCTTCGTTAAAAGGTGCTACGTTCAAGAAGTTCACGGGCAATGTTCCGATCAGAGATAGACAGGTATACTCGATTATGAATGATCGTTTCTTCGGTATTCGTTGACACTTTGGAATTCAATTCGCATTCGTCGATTCTTTAGAGTATAATGGATGCCTTTAACGACCCGGACAACGACCCAAAGATACTGTTGCTGTCTCTTACTGCGGGAGGCGTTGGATTGAATCTGGTCGGTGGAAACCATATGTTGCTAATAGATATCCATTGGAACCCACAATTGGAGATGCAGGCTCAGGACAGAATCTATCGCTTCGGACAAAAAAAAGATGTTTACGTATATAAGTTAGTGGATAGTACAGTAATGTCTCCTTAACTGACGCTCAGATTGTGCACAAAAATGGACAATTTGGAAAGAGGAGATACGATTATTCGAGTCTTGCGGCTCGTTTTTGTAATTTGTTGACAATTCGTCACTGTAAAGACAAATCGCAAGGCTCGAATAATCGTATCTCTTCTTTCCAAATTGTCCATGTTTGTGGACAATTTGAGCGTCAATTAGGGAGACATTACTGTATTTCGTTCTGAGAATACTGAGTGTTCATAAATAACACTAAATTCACGCATGGACATTCTCCTATAGGTTCATCTGCAGGGACACGATCGAGGAGCGCATCAAGCGTCTGCAGGAGAAGAAAATGGAGATAGCGGAGAACGTTCTCACTGGTGCAAAGAATTCTGCTGCCTCGAAACTAACTCTGAACGATCTCAAATCTCTGTTCGCTTTCTAACGAAATGTCTTCCTTAACTAAAATTATTTTTTGATAAATATTTTCGTGCAATATACAGTTTTTTATTCATAAAGCTACTCAAAGTTGTCGAAAGTTTTTTTATTAGAAATTTCAAATGCGAAGAAGGAGGTGTCACGTGAGCCTGAGAATGTTTCCGATATTCCGTGTTTCTTTGTTGCTTCATTTTATTGTATCGGACACCGTTGCAGAAATATATGCCTGTCCTACTAGAAGAAGAAGAAGAAGAAGGAAATGAATCATAATTCTTTAATCAGGTTTGAAATACAGTTCGGCCCGCTCATCTATCACTATCCACATTGAGAATCGCACCCACGTCATCTTGTTTAACATCATCAAGTAAATATTTATGAATATAAAAAGAATATACTATATAGCAACGCCAATCGGAAGGAAGACAAAGAATAATTATTCTTAGGGTAATAAATGACGCTTATTTATTTGACAATGAACGTTACAGTCTTCGGATCATGATCACCTTCTTTTCGTATGCTTCACTTGTCTCGTATCTGAAACACGAGGTACGAGTACCAGGTAGATTGCTACTTGCTGATCGCGTGCAATCGCATGTCGCGTGTCCAATTATTACCAGAGTATACATTTAAATAAACAGATATGTACCCCGCCACAAGCCCATAAAATCTAAATTTAGCGCCATTAGACATAGTGGCAAAACGCTGAAACTGATGGACAAAATTACCAACAGCTGATTTAGTTGGTAACAATTCGAGTATTTTCCCACTACATAGGTTGTCGCTATACGAACCTCCGACAACAGAAAATTCGTGCCGGATTTTACATTGTATATCTGTTTGTATAACATTGAATATCTGTTTTCTATATTTGCAATATTAGATAAACTTTTCTTTACATAATGTAAATGCTGGAGAATTTCTTGAACATTTTCGTATTCTCAAAATATTCTTTCGTTTGGTGTTCTTTAGAAAAATACAAAAAAAGGTTCGTTCATCGTAACAGAAAAGATGTTCTATTTATTAAGAAAAAGTCGTATACGTAAATAATAAAACATGAATTGTAGATTTAATACTTTTATCAAAAATTTGAAACTGTTCTCCATACAAGAATAGCAATATTACCGCCGTTATACATGTATAAGAACGTTTTTTCCTGATATGTAACTGCAGAAGCATATGATTCACCAACTACTACGTGAAATGGCCCTCCAAAACGTTTTTCTAAACCGTACTTAATTGCCCGAGCTGCAAGTTTGTAATTATCTGTATACTTCTCCGTAGCCGTTACACACATTTCAATAGCTTCTTGTTTCATTTCTTCTGACATGTCGCTTTGCTGTACAAAATATACCAGATGTATAACATACATATTTCAATTTGCAATTAAGATTGCAAATGTTAATCTTCGAAGAATGTTAATTTATTCATGCACCTTACACAAAGGATAAGTGTGAAAAATAAGGGGTTCCTCCGTCTTTTTTACCTCTCCTGCTGACATCCTTGTTTCAATCTATGATGATTTCTATCCGTTGAAAGTAGATATAAAAACTGATTAATAAAAATTTTTAATGCTTTTTATATTAAATCGATATATCTATTCAATTTCATTTGTTATTTCATAAAATTGCGATATAATAGGAAAATAATAAGATTTGTCTAACCATATTTGAATTTTAACTTAAAAACACTAATATATACATATACCTTATATGTACATGTTTATCATTAACAAATTGTGATGTATGTATTTCTCTTAAAAAATGAGAAATATGTATATGTATATAGTTTTAATTATGTATTATTTATAATAATATGAAACTAAAATTAAATAATGTAAACTATTACTTTATAGTAAATTTAAAAGAACCATATTCTAAATAGTAAGGGGTTATTTCTTAAAATTAACCAATGGCTAACAAGGATTCTACATACAGGCTGGTCAGGCTTCAGTCGATCTTTAAACTTCAAGAGGATTGGTAACTATAGCTTGAATAACCGCTTTATTTTTGGCGCGAAGGCATTTTATAGCTTTGTTAAAAGAAAAAAAGAATATTAAGTGATATTTATTGAAACATATAATAAAGGCATATCATAATAAGGTATAACAATGTAGAAATACTAAATGTAATGCACGTAAACATTGATAACTTTTTAAAATATTGAAACCAACATTTACCAAGCTACATGATGGCATATTAAATTAACGAACTGAATGATCAAATTTTATTTGTTTGTTCAGACAACTTACGTGTATGTAATTTGCTTTACGATATTGAACATGTTATATTTAATATATAGTTCTATGTTGTACTGTACAATGTATAACCTATGAATGTTGAGGTTCCAATTGAATTGATCAAGGTCAAATCTATACAAATCAAAGTAACAAACTGATTTAAAGATTTTGTTCTGCAATATAAATAAAAATCTCCAATTTTAATTATTTACATGAAGATAAGCTAAGTAATAATTAACATTTTCATAAGAAAAATTTTAAGAAGTATATAGCAGTTTTAAACATTCACTTTTTTATAAAAATTCATTAAAGTATAAATATAATCCATGTTCTTTATTTTGTTATCAGATGGAAGATCCAGCTACGGCACGCTTAAAAGCTTTAGTTGTAAGCAGCAACGATGCCTTGGAGTTCAAATTAGTCCGTATTATGGAAGATTTAGAAAATGATGAAACTACATTTAAACCAGAGATGTCCCATCAAGTATTTGGAGACAGGTTTGTTTAAATCATATGAGTAAGCAAATATTGTTTGCTTAAATATATTTATCAGATAAAATTATCTTTCTCTAAGACTATACTTTATACTATATTAATTATATATATATATTACATTTATTAACATTATTTATTAATTATTTTCTTGATTATTCATTTTATTTGTCAGTGAATCTATATTTGGTTACCGGGATCTTAGAGTGAAGCTATACTACTCGGCAGGTTGTTTAGAAACTTATTTGGGCATGACCTATTCAGAAAAAGTAAATAAATCAATTTGTGAAGGAGTCGAAGCTGATGAGGTATTACCTAAAATGGTGGAGAAACTTGCACCCAAAGTTCATGATAATATAGATTCATTTATTAAATCTCTGGAAAAAGATGATACATTTAGACCTCATGGAGAATTGTTGCATTCATTTTCCATTGATGGTAATCAGTTTACTTTATTACATTTTTTAAATTGCATGAAATGGATCAATACATATGTATTTATATATATATATATAAAATATGTATATATATATATACATATTTATTTATAAAATATGTATACATATATATATATACATATATATACATATTTTATAAATAAATATATATATACATATTTTGATGAGATTACAGATGAAGGATGCACTAGAAAATTTGAAGTCTATAAAGCTGACATGACTTATAAAGGTTTCAAGGAATATCATGAACGTCTCCAGACATTTGTCCTTTGGTATATAGATGCTGCCAATTTTATAGATATAGACGATGATCGGTGGCATTACTTTAATATGTAAGATCAATTACTATATTTTCATTAGCTTATTAAGTTCATGCATAATTATTTGTTCTTTCTTTAAATAGATTTGAAAAATATCATTCAGCACATGGAACTGTTCGCTATGCAACCACTGGTTTTGCTACTGTGTATCAGTATTATGCATATCCACACCATACTAGACCCCGTATAGCTCAAGTTCTCATATTACCACCATTTCAAAATATGGGCCTTGGTGCACATTTATTACATGCTATTTATCGCGAATATATAGGAAGAAATCAAGTGAAGGATATAACAGGTAATTGAGCATATAACGACTGCTAATTATATTATGAAGCTATAATGGAGGCAATTCTATATGAAGTATTTCCTCTATACCTTGTCATTGTGACTGAGAACATTTCATTTTGTGTTTCTTCTACTTGGCACTTAAAATTCAAAAACAGCTAAGCCAAAGCTAAGCCTGATCAATCAATTTGGTTTCAGTAAAACTAGTTCATTTTGGTAAGGCATTGTCATCATTTTTGTAGTTGAGGACCCATCGGTGACTTTTCAACGATTAAGAGATTACGTGGACGCAATAAACTGCAGCACGTTATCTAGTTTTTCACGGGAATGTCTGCTTCAAGGTTTTAATAAAACTATGGTTATGGAAGCGAAAGAGAAATTCAAGATAAATAAGGTATTGATAATTGATGCATTAATATATACATATAACAAAGAATATACATTGAATGGTAAATCATTTTCTGATTTATAGAGACAAACTCGTAGAGTATATGAAATTTTGAGATTGCGTTCAACTGATTTATCAAACGAGAATGAGTATCGTGAGTATAGATTAGATGTAAAAAAGAGATTGAATATCCCATATAAACGTGAACAAAATGATTTAAGAAAGTTGGAGTGTGCACTAAAAAACATTGGTAAAAAATCAAATTACACACTACCTACATCAGAGCAACGTTTGCAAACTCTTGAAAAAGAATATAGGAGTTTAGAAGAGGAGTATAAAAAAGTTATAAAGCGATTGGAAGATGCAGACGAACTTTGAAATTCAATATTTTCTAATATTTTGTTTTCGATTAAGTCATATATATATATATACATACAAATTAATTAATACAATATTTATGAAATAATTGGTTAATTAATTTTTTGGCTTAGTACTGACTATTAGAAAGGAATATTTTTAACATGTTGTAATACAATTTAATCAACCGAACGCTGTTCATATTTTTTGTAATTTTGTTACTTTACCAAAATAAATGTTTCAAAAATAATGTAGGCATAAGAATATAATAAATAATATAGGTTTTACAATAAAAAAATACATTCTTATATAATGCAAAATATAACATTGTGATTGAAAATTGGCGTTTCGTTTGCTTATCTTAACGTTCACTTGCGGCAATTTTTCATATACCGCCAAACTTCCAGTTATCATTAGTACCAGATGGTGCTTGACCAACTTGTTTCTGTAAACTGTAATAAGTACAAAATACGTACATAGAAATAAAAATAAATAAAGTCTGAGGGGTTCGTAAAGTCATTTAAAGTAACTTTTTTTCTTAGCACAAATGCAATACGCAGCTTTGTTTACTTGTCATTAAAAGACAGTGACCAATGAGAGATGAGATCAATTGCTGCGAGGCGGTCGAGCCAAAGAGCGGAACTGGGCTTCGTCTGCTCGTCGCCTCTTATTGGTCAGTATCTTTCGTTAATTCAGTAGTGCCACACCATAGTAAGCCCAGGCGGTGGCAACCGGCTTAGCATTATGAAGCAGGTAGAGAAACTGCTTTTCCTCTGATTGGTTAACGCTTCACAGCTAAACAGTGCTGCTCTCGCAGTTTTAGACAAAGAGAGAAAGTGGCGAGTGAGCAAAAGAGCATAACATCAGCACAAGTATAAGCAAAACAAGTAACACCGATGATCAATGTAGCTTGTCTCACTTTACCATACTTGCGATTTCACTCTATTCGCGTATCCGTTTGCCTAGTGCTCCATCTAAAATACGTGACATATACTTTCCGTCCTTTCTCGACCATACAGTTTAGCGTATTTACGAACGTCTTGAAACGACGACCATTTCTACAATTATTAAAATTTTCGGAAACCTATAAGCTACATGTTAGATAATACTTTCTAGTTTATGAATCTACATCTGAAATTTGCATTCATATTTTCTTAGAAAAACTACACATTTAATTTAGTAATTACCTACAAAAAATTCTTAAACTCAGAGATTTAGAGAATTATTGAAGATTGCAACAATTTACTGGCAAGAAAGATTAAAAAATTATATGAAACAATTCTAAAACGTTTAGTCGAAATTTTGATTCGCAATCTACAACAAAACTAGGATTTTAGGTAGCCCTCCTCTAACATACTTTCGTTCTAACACGATAGGAAAAATTGCGGGTACCTTCGTATAGCACTGCAATCTATAACACTGTTTCGTTCTAATACGATAAGAATATTGCGAAAAACTTTGTACAACACGGTACATACTTCTATAACACTGGATAACATAATTGTTGTTTAACATATTTAAAAACTTAATTACTTTAAAATAATGATGGGAAGGAATGTCTGTGGACGGCAAGAAATGCCGTTGTAGCGGTTGGCGTGCGGTGCCGAGCACCCGCCTCCGCGGTCACCTGGCAGAATGACCATCACTACTTTCATATTATTATCGCCGGCTTTATAGCCGGCGAAATACTTAAAACAAACAAACATGGACACTATAGGAACTATAGTGTCTTCACATGAAAATATAATTATTATAATTAAGGGTATATAAAAAAATAAACCCTTCCGCTGAAAAAAGCCGAAAATTCAAAAAGGAGTTGCAAAATTGTCTATCTTCATATCATGAAATCTACAATGATTTTGTAAGAACTAGCAAACAAACCAAAATTACAGATTTTTTAAAGAGGATAGAAGGTGCAAAATATCTAAATGAAGAAGAAGGTTCAGAAAAATAAATATAATCTCGTTCAACCGAGAAATCGTTCTCGTTTGATGAAAATAATATTTTTTGTTTTTTTTTTTCGTTTTGTAATATACATACATTTATATTTTTCATGAAAATTAAGTTTCTTATATGGAATTAAAAAAAATGTTTGTTTTTAATAAGTTTTTGGAATGGAATCTCTCTTTTTGTACTGGTACTCATATCTATCGTGTCATAGAAGGGTTACCTGTATAGGGAAATGGCTGTGTTGTTTGTGGGTCTGGGTTACGTAGGAAATCGTATTTTATTCGGTCATCGACATTATCACTTCTAGAGCGAACTGGACGAACTTTGCTGCTTGCATAAATTTCAGGCCCTGAAAAGGACCGTAATTATTAAATAGAGGAGTGGTCTAGCATGTGCCAGGGCTCGGACAAAAAGAGTTTCTCCAGTTATCGTTAATCCTTTCATTGCTGGTGTAGATACTTCTTTTCCAGAAACCGTTATTTCATAGCATAAAAATTGAAGAACTGCATATTAGACGCATGTTTATTCCATGAAGAATCTACTACGAGTGAATACGGGACAGCACAGCACAACCCTCTCTTTCGGAATACGTGGTACCGGTAAAGAAGAAGGACGAGATCGTTACTTCCTCCCGTTGATTGTGGACCAATTGGACCTCCTATGTGATGCGGTGGTCTATAGCATACTAGACCTACGGAATGCTTTTTTCCACGTCATGGTTGAACCCGAAAGCCGAAAATACACGTCCTTCATAGTACACGATGGACAGTACGAATTTTTGCGAGTCCCATTTGGTCTGTGCAACTCCCCGCGGTCTTCCAACGATTTGTTAACATCGTGTTCAGGGACCTTGTTGCTAGGAAGGTCGTTTTCACATATATTGACGACCTAGTTGTTCCGGCAGTCGACTTTGAGGCCAGAGCCACGGAATACGGACTACGAATCAATTGGTCGACACGCGAATTCTTGAGGACGCGGGTGGAGTATCTCGGGTACGTAGAGGAGGGAGGTACGATCCGCCCCTCGGAGGATAAAATGCGATCGGTGTTCACGCAGTTACTGAAAGCCAATGTACCTTTTCGATTCGGGTCAGAAGAACGGAGCGCGTTCGGGCTGCTCAAGGAAGCTCTGCGTGAAGGGCCAGTACTGCGAATCTACCGGCCCGAGCGTGAAACGGAGTTGCACACTAGCGCGTCGATGCAAGGATTCGGGGCAATAGTGCTCCAACGCGACAGCGAGGACGGTGCGTTCCACCCCGTCTATTATGCAAGTGGGAAAACAATGACCGCGGGGCAGCAACACTCGAACTACGAAGTACTAGCCATAGTTAGAGCATTGAACAAGTTTAGAGTCTACTTGTTTGGGATCCACTTTAGGGCCGATTCACATACACTTGCTTGGCTCGAGTCGTACTAGCAGCGTGCTCGATTGAGACTGACCACATTAGACGTGCGAGCATGATGCCAGGCAGGACCGATAACCTCGGGACTGAAGTCCCTTAGACCGAGATTTCGGAGTTCGACGTTATCTTTTCCGAATGTAGAAAAGGACAACAAACGAAAAATAGATAATATCGCAATGTGTAACTTCTTTATTTGTTCACTACTTCTTAATGGGACGTTTTCCAATGCAATCGTGAGCTTTTTCTGATTAAAATAAGACGAAACACGATATAATTTTTGTAAGGTTATATCGATTTTTATGAAAGGCAGTATCTTTTTTGAAAACTGGCTAAAGGACTAGAATTTTTCTCAATGACAGTAGGACTAGTCTATTAGACAATGACTATAATATTTTTTTAAAATTTTGCTATTACTTGAAATGACAACAAAAAATAAAATGCTACTGCTTTTTAACTTTTTTATCTGAGCCTATAAATGCGTTTTGTAGATCTTATATCAATACTGAAAATTTCATCGAAATCGTTTGTCCTTGAAATACGCTGTAAACAATTAGAGATCGATCAAATAAAAACCTACCATTATTTAAAAAAAAATATTAGTCGTTTAGTCCAAGTTTTAAAAGAGATACTGCGTATACCGACCGATAGCCTGTTAATCGGCTTCTTGTCTTCAACGCTTACCGACCGGTAGCCTACTAATCAGCTTTTGGTTCCCAGCGCTTACCGACCGATAACCTAAATATAAATCGACGTTTCACTCCGACCAGCTGCCTCCGATTGTCATAGAAACCGATAATGTGTTATTCACTATTGAGATGAAAGTGTTAGATTGAATTACTGTAAGTCTCCTATATTATTATACAATTTTTTACATATTACATACCTTCCGCGTTGAATAAAATAAATAAAATAGATCAAATAAATATTGTTTAATGCTAACGTCATGAAAATATAAAAATGTTAAACAAAATTACCGTATAATAACAGAAGTGGAATAATATAGAAAATAATAGTAAACAAAGTTTGATTTAACATTTCTATAAGCGAAAGAAGAAGCGCATATTATTGTATATAAGTGGCAAAGCCAACCCAAATACTACTACTAGTACTACTCTGCTGTTGCTTCTGCTGCTCTTTCTACTATCGCAATCAAAGTCGCGGTGTTCTTCGGAAGGATACATCACCGACATACATTGACCCGACCCCCAAACGCTTGCCTCAAAGAACAATTCCGACGCCGCGTTCGTACTGGCCTTGTTTTGCTAATCAAACGTTCGGCAATCGGTGCCTGACGCACATCGCCACGACGGTGCATTAACGGTCCCCCGCGACGCTGAACATGCCAGATAAATTTTCTGAGCCCTTGCGCTAAACACTTTGCGACCTTGCGCTTTACCAAGAAGCCATGCTTCAATAATTGTTATCTTGTTTACTACGTTTTTGTCTTCAGTATACGTTGTAAATATTTTGAGTATTTCTCGCGTGCGGTTTTGACATACCTTATATTCTAGGTCAGACACGTCGAATTATTTTCTGCCGCTTTCTGGTAAATGTTTGATTAATTAGTGGTTTTAAGAAAATTGACCACAACCTGTAAACGTTAAATATAGCCACCATTGTTGCAATACGACGAACCACAGGAACCATTCTACTAAAACTGATACTAAGTTCTTAAGCAATAAAAATGAATACAAGTTTTACTTCCTCTGAAATTGTCAAAATAAGAATTATTTATCCTGATCAGTGGAACTTCCTGTTGTCGCTTGTCTTTGCAATTCGCTTTTGGGGAATTACAGTATATATGTCTTAACATTGAAATCATACCGTCTTTCATAAGGCT